AAAATTCAAAATTTAAGTTTAATCCAAATTCAAAAGAATAATTATGATTGGTTTGTTTGATATGAGTTTGTGTAATAATGATTTGATTTGTTACTTTACAAAATAAAAATAATTATTTTTATTTAAAATGATACTCCCGCCTAGCCATTTGGGTTTTTGTAGTAAATTAAAAAATAATATTTTCTCTGTCACTTTCTAAATATCATATTTATCTTTTGCATCATTGTACTTAACATTAAAATATCATTATATTTGTATAATTTTTTATATAAATGTCTTTTTATTAGTATTATACATTTTGATATAATAATTAATATTCAAATATTAACACGCAAAAAGTAAATGAGACTTTTAGAATCGGACAAAAATAGTAATATATTTTATTAGTTAGTAAAAGTGTGTAAGATATTGATATTTTTGCCCTTTGACTTTTTGTATAAAGTAATTATATATGTAATGATATGTTTGTAATTTAAGTAAAAATTAAAAGTATTTTGGTATTAATCTATAATTATTCTTATTAAAATAATAAAAAAAATATTTTAAAATAGGACAAACAAAAATAATATATATATTTTTTAATTGAAACAGAATAAAAATATGTATTATGAATAATGAAAATCCGTACCAAACACAGTTGATGTAAACGGCATCTTGCCAGCAAACTTGCATTGGCATATCATTAGGCATACCTTTGTAAGAAATATATTATTAATTATATAATAATTAGTCCTTAAGATCATGATTAGCAAACGGATCTTTTAAATAACATCTCGAAAATTTTTAAATTAATAAAGTGTGACTAATTTCAATTTATATTTAAATAACTCTTATGTGAAAATAATAATAATAATTTATTTTTTGTCCAGTTATAGTAATTGATTCGTAATAAATTATAACTGCTTTTTATAAGAATAAATTTTAAATTTTACAGGATTAATATTATAATTATTAAATTTAAATAAAATAACTGGCGACAACAGTGTAAATAAATGGAGAAATATTGAGGAAAAAAAAAAAACCCATTTTACTAAATATAATACTCCATGTTGAAAGGTTATCATTTTCCATTTTCGTCCGTCCTAAAACAAGGTTACCATTTCTTAATTTAGTAACTGTACTATCTACTTAACATAATAAATATCCTTTCAACTTACAATATATTACACAAATGTCATTACTTTTATATTACACCTTACTAGTAGGGGTATTTTTGTCTTTTTTTACTATAATCAAATATAATACTAATATTAAAAAATCTACGTGCAAAAAGCAAACGACACTCTTCCAACGGAACGGAGGGAGTATGATAGTATTTTTTTCATAGACGGATTAAAATAGTAAAATAAATTCTATTTGATATTCCGTGAGTAAAAAAATTACATAATATAATTCAAATAATAAAATTTAAAAAGCTTATGCTAGAAAACATGTCCAAAATTTTCCAAATTTAGATTTAGATGTTTTGAGTTATTTGAAATATCTAAACCTGAACAAAAAAATAGTACTCCCTCCGTCCCATTTATCATGTCCATATTGTCGTTTATGTCCGTCTCACGTCTCATGTCATTTTTCTTTTTTGGAAAATAATTACCTATCTTAATTTTATTTTAAATTTTCTATTTAATTTTTTTTTAAAATTTTAATTAAACTAATTAGTTATCTTAATCTTAATTTTAATCTTACTCTTAATCTATAATGATTTATATTATAAGTTAATTATTTTAACTAATACATTCTTAATTATCTATTAATTATACTTATCCTAAATTCTCATGTCTACAGTGACCAAGACACCCAATGTGAGACGAAGGTAATAATAAAATATATTGAGTAATGTTGAAGTTAAAAATTCATTTGATAATTTAAAATGTTTTTATTTAATATTTAATTATAGGTATTAGAAAGTGTGAAAGTATTATGAAAACTATTTATGTATTTCTATTGCTTTTTATGAATTTTGTAACTTTCATTATTGTTATGTATGTATATTATATTTAAAAATAATGATAATATGTGAAAGTACTAAATGAACACACTTTTAGGGTGTGTTTGTTCGGGGGATTGGATTAGATTTCCACTATTCATCTCATTTTTTATCTCAAAAATATCAAATCAAACATTTATTTTTTATTTTTTATATTATACTAAAATTCAATTTTAAGTTCAAAATATCACATCAACACCTATTTATATCACATGTATTCAAATCTCAACTCAAAATCCAAACCCCAAACTTCTCAACTTGTATACTCCCTCCGTCCCATAACAAAGTATCCATTTTTCCATTTTAGTCCGTCCCATAACAAAGTATCAATTTTCTCTTTTAGTAACTGTATTATCTACCTAATATTACAAATACCCTTACAACTTACAATATATTACACAAATGTCATTATATTTATATCACACATACTAATAAGGTTATTTTGGTCATTTTTACTTTAAACCTACTATATCCCAATATAATATTAATATTTCTAAAACGGAGTAAGTATAATTTATTAACTTATATATTATTGCAAGTGATTGCTTTATTTTAATTCATACGATATGTTTGTTTTTTTAGTAATGATCATTTGGACAAGCGTTAATCATAAATTGTAATTTTATAAACTATGAATCTTTTTTATTATTATTATTTTAGTTTTTATTATACTATTTAGTAAAATTGTTACTTTTTAATTGATATGAAACAAAAAAATATATTAACTTTTACCCTACCTATAACATGTTCATATCGTATCTGGGTTTGGAATTATAGGATTAAAATTAAATCCAAATAATTCTTGATCGATTATAGAATTGACATTGTGAATTACTTTACAATAACCAAAATATCGAGCTAATTCTCATACAGTTATACAGTATATCTAAAATTTTACCAAAATGATGCATAATTTATGTACAAAGAATGCATTGGTAAATGAAGTGGCAATATATATATATATATATAATATGTCCCTAAAATTGATGCACTTGCCAATTTTAGGATATATATTTCGTATGTATTATTCATAAAAAAAAAAAAAAATTTAAAATTATTAATGAAATATATATATATATATTAATATATTATAAAAAAATTATTTTTTTCTTTTCAAAATATTAGAGTTAAAATTATTTCAATTTAAAATTTTATCATTCATAAACTCCAAAAGTCAAATTCAAATAAATTTTACTGAAATTTGATAATTACTATCAACTAATTAAATAATTCAAACAACCCACAATTAAATGAATATAATTTACATAAGAAACTATTACAAATATTTTAATTTTTAAATAAATTACAAATATAACAATAAATATATCATTATTTTATATATAAATTCAAATGACAAATTTATTAGAACCTCCTTCCACATTTTCATTCACAAAAAATGTCATTGGGACGAGAGAATCGAAGATATACTCTTCTTGTCTCAGAAAAAAATTATTTCTTTTTAGAAAAATTATACTTATTTTTTTAATATTAATATTATATATATATATATATTACAAATAGAGATAAAATAATATTCATACTCCTGTTAGTAGTGTCTATTAATTATGTGATATTGATTAAATAAAAATAATCAAATTTATGTAATACTCTATATTATATATTATAAAAGTAATTAATTTCAATGTTACATAAATAGTACCGATTCCTAAAATAAATAAATAAATATTTTACTTTAATACAAATCAAAATAAAAATAAAAAATAAAAAAAATAGATACATCGAATAAGTAAGTATTAATTACATCTTAGCAGCCAATTTTAACCAAACAGACGTATAATCATTGGATTGCAAAGTTATTTAATTAATTAATCAATTAATCATGCAGCGTTAATTTATTTTAAAGTGCCAATACTAAAATATTTTATTCTGAATAAAATAATAACAATAATAACAAAGTAGATTTCATTTTAAATATTATATTATATTATATATGTATATTGTATTTGTATTAGTAATCCATCCCCAACGTTGTGTGTAGTTGGTGTAAGGTGTGTTCGCCACCAACTACCCGTCCTCGAGGGTAGTTGGTCAGATATATGGATGCCCATGCACACACCTGCGTCCATGCATTCATTGCCTAACCCAGGTTAATTATTTTTTTAACCATGGTTAAATTAGGAGTTGGGTCGCTTAGTTGCTAACTCACTCGCCCTCTTGTAGTTACGAGGATTATTATTATTATTAAGATTATATTTTTATTTATTTATGTCTTATTATCGCCGTCTATACTAATTATTCATTCCCTTTCCCTCCATTAAATAAATGTTTTTTTTAATCCAAAATATCGATTTATGTTTTTAGAAAAACTATTCAATATTATATTTATTTACAATTATTTCTTTTATCATCCAAATCTATTTTCATTTTTTTTTCTTTGTTTGATTATTATCTAAATTTATTCCTATTGTATTTTTCAGTAAATAAATACTATATTTTTTTACTTCTTTTTGATAAAAAAAAGTAAAAAAAAAATTCTATTTTTACCTTCTTTTTTTTTTAAAAAAAAAACTTAGTACCCGTAAAATGAGCACATAATTGTATACAGAGAGAGTCGACTTATATGGGTCACATACATTTTGCGTTATTGTATTTAATATTAAATTTTTTTTATATTTATATTAAATTTTAATATAATAATTAATATTTAAATATTACTAAGAAAAAAATAAAAAATAAAAGCCGAGGAAGTAGTATATAAATGCCAAAATATTTTAATTTGAAAATATATATATACTCCTACAAAGACAAAAATTAAAATTTATCTACATTTGGACGGAGAAATAGTATATTGATTAGAACTTGTATTCCATAATAAAATTTAGTTTATCATTTATTATTTTAATTTATTGTTTCTTTGTTCGGTCAAATTTCCAAATATTTTTGTCGATTACGCCAACTAAGACACGTTGGTAATCTGACATTATTGCGGTCTTTTGTGAAATCTCTATTTTGCCCCTGACTACTGCAGGTCAGTATATACATGCTTCCATGGCCGTCTTCTTCGCCAGGAATTCACACTCCGATTCGATTCCGATTCCAACTCCGGCGACGACGAGTTTGACGGCGACGGAAAAATGGTGGTCATGGCTAAGAAACGCGAGACTATTTTCCGGTCGAAGCTTCCCGACATTCATATCCCGAACTACTTGCCTCTGCATATGTACATTTTCAGAGATACGGCGAGTTTCGCCGCCGGCAAGTGCTTGGTCGACGCCGCCACCGGAGAAGAGCTCTCGTACGACGACGTTTTGACTACTTCGAAGAAACTCGCCGCCGGTCTGACCGGAATCGGCGTCCGCCGCGGCGACGTCGTGATGCTGCTCCTCCCCAATTGCCTCGAATTCCCCCTCGCCTTCTTCGCCGTCTCCTTCATCGGCGCCGCCTCCACCATGGCCAACCCGTTCTTCACTCCGGCGGAGATTTTGAAGCAGGTGAAGGATTCCGGCGCTAAGGTCATCATCACGAAAGCTTGCTGCATCGAAAAAATTAGGGATTTCGCGTCGGAGAACGGATTGAAAATCATCTGCACAGACGCGCCGCCGGCGATGGAGGTGGCTTTGCCGGCGGTGGCGGAGGACGAAATTCTCCACTTCTCGGATGTGGCGTCCGCTAATGAAGACGATTTCACGGCGGTCGGAGTTAAACCGGACGACGTTGTGGCGCTTCCGTACTCCTCCGGCACCACCGGAATGCCGAAAGGCGTAATGCTGACGCACAAGGGGCTGGTGACGACGGTGTCGCAGCAGGTCGACGGCGAGAATCCGAACATGTATTTGGACAGCTCCGACGTGATTCTATCGGTGCTGCCGCTGTTCCACATCTTCGGCCTGAATTCCGTCCTCCTCTGTGGCCTACGCGCCGGCGCCGCCATTGTTCTAATGCAGAAGTTCGAAATCTCCACGTTCCTGGAAGTTATACAGAAGTATAAAATTACTTTCCTACCCCTCGTCCCGCCGATTGCCCTAGCTATCGTGAAGAGCCCCCTCGTGGATAAATATGACCTTTCCTCTGTCCGCCTCGTCATGTCCGGCGCCGCCCCCCTCGGCAAGGAGCTCGAAGACGCCATTAGAGCTAAGCTTCCCAACGCCATTATTGGCCAGGTAATTTTTAATTATTTTTATTTTTCATAAAAAAAACATCAAATCAAAATTTTTAAAATTATTTATATACTTGTATTAGTAAAATTAATCGTTTGTTTTTTTCCACCAAACTCAAGTTTACTATTTTAACTTTGTGTTTTTAAAAATAAATATATTTTCACTGTTATGTAACAATAGTTTTATTTTGCTATTTTATATTATCTTAAAATAATAGTCTTATTTTTATTTTTTATAATTAACTTTTAATTATTTTATAAAACTATTTTCACTATTTCACAATAATTACATAAAGCATTTTGATTTTTTAAAAATATTTTTTCACCGATTATCAATATAATATTATTATTTCTTAAAATTTTAAGATGGAGAGAGATTTTTTTTTTCTTACCAAATATTTAATCATGCATTATATTTTTATTAAATTCAAAGCAAATTTTTTTCAAATTTATCAAAAGAAATATACCCAAAATATTTAAAATAAAATTATATTTGTAACAATTAAAAATTTAAAATTTTACTAATTACAATTAACATGCAAACCTCCAATCACAACTACTATTTACCTCTCTATCTGAATATATGTATATATATATCACATATATTAATTTGATTGAGAATTGAGGGTGAAATTAGGGCTACGGAATGACGGAAGCAGGGCCAGTTCTCTCACTCTGCCTGGGATTCGCGAAGCATCCTTTTCATATGAAATCAGGATCTTCCGGAACGGTGGTGCGGAACGCCGAGATGAAGGTAGTAGACACAGAGACTGGCGAATCGCTGGGGTACAATCAGCGGGGAGAAATCTGCATCCGCGGCGATCAGATCATGAAAGGTTAATTTCTTCTCTCAGATCAAAAAATTAATTCAACCGATTATCAGTTTCAACATACGTATGAACAGTTGAATTCGATTTCAGGCTACCTGAACAATCCGGAAGCGACGAAGCAGACGATCGACGAGCAAGGATGGCTGCACACCGGCGACGTCGGCCTGATTGACGACGACGACGAGGTGTTCATCGTCGATCGAGTCAAGGATATGATAAAGTACAAAGGCTACCAAGTCGCTCCGGCGGAGATCGAAGCCATTCTCGTCGCCCATCCTTCCGTCTCCGACGCCGCCGTCGCACCGTAATCATCTCATCCTAATTTATTCTTTTATTTAAGTATGGATTTATTCACACAATAATTTTTTGAATTTTTGTTACTATTTATTTTTTTTTTCAAATTTTTTAAAATTTCTAAAATTTTATTTTTTAAATGGAGTCTATATTATTAATTAATTTTCGTATTTTTTATCATAGAAAATGAACGTTGTCTCCCTCCCATCTATGAATAGGACATTTTACTGTAAGTTGGAATGGGCCTAAAATCTTAAAATAATAATAATATAATTATTAAATAATTATATAAAAAAACAAATATGATGAGTAGATCTTCTGAGTAGTGGGGTGTATTAAAAAACTTGTTGCATAATGTAATGTTTTATATAAAAAATAAGAACATGGTTACATTGTCCTCAAAATTTGTCCTATTAAGCATATATAAAATAATAGACAAATATATGTTTTTATTCAATATAATACATTTTATTTATTTCAAAATATATATCGTATTATATCACGTGTTGTCATTGTAATATTGTCTATTTGACAGTATTAAAAGTAATAATAATTTTTATTGAAAATATTGAAATTATTTAGTTTAAAAAAAATAATTCGAATTAATTTTAAAATTTTCGATGCGATTTAGGATGAGGGACGAGGAAGCCGGGGAAGTTCCGGTGGCGTTCGTCGTGCGGGCGAAAGGTTTGACGGTGACGGAGGAAGAAATAAAAGAAATGGTGTCTAAACAGGTTGTGTTCTACAAGAGAATCCGGCGAGTGTTTTTTGTCGACGAAATTCCGAAAGCTCCGACGGGGAAAATATTAAGGAAGCAGCTGAATCCAAAAATATCTGTTGTTTACTAATATGCCTAAATGTTTATTTTGTTTAATTGGCAAACCATAAATTATTATATATAAATAACAATAATATAAATATTGTTAATGTTGTTGTTATAGTTGTCCAGCTAGCTCTACATTTATGGTAAAAAAATAAGCTCTGTTAGATAGCTTAGGCATTCATTTATTTTATATGCATTCATGATTCATGCCATACCTATTATTTTCTCACAATAATTTCTTTACATACCTCACGAGATATTTTTTAGAATTTTTTAAGCTTTGCAATTTTTTAAAATAATAAAATTTTAGCATTTAATATGAAATTTTGTTATAAAAAATATATATATATACTCTAAGATTTTAATAAAAGTGTATAATAGTTTCTATTTTCTTATTTTTTTATAATAAAAATAGAAAAAGTGATATATTTTTCTGTTAAAAAGAGGATTGAATGACATCTCAAAAAATACATAAATTTAAATGACAATGTAATATAATATTCCCTCTGTCCATTAAAAATAGTCCATTTGGGTCTGGCATGGGATTTAAAAAAAATAAATATTTTATTGAAAAAGTGATAGGTAGTTGTGGATATTTTTGAAAATTTAATTAGAAATGAAAGTAAATAAAAAGATAATGTAATAAAGTTAGTGATTTGTTGTAAATAAATGTTGAATGAAAAGTAATAATTAAATGTTGATTTGTTAAATTTGTCAAAATTAATAATGTGATAAATTTAGCGGACGGAGATAGTATTTATTATATAAATAAATGAACAAAATTATGCCAAAGACCCAAAATTGGTGTCTAAACAAAATCTTTGTTTCAGGAATATTTTGTATCCATTTTATGATTTTTATTTATTTTTTAATATATACTCTCTATTTCTTTTAACTAAAAGTATTATTATTATTTTTTGCTTATTTAAACATATCAACTTTTTATTATAATAAAAATTTACATACTAATACTAAAAAAATTAATTTTCATATAAATGTCAAATACACAATTATATATAAAGTACAAACGACAAAAATATTAAAATTTTAAAATAATGTTATTTAATTAGTTAAGAACAGTGAGTTATAATATTATTTTATAATTTATTACGTGAATAAGTGGACATAGTACATGAGACGGAAGGAAGTACACATTCTTAAAAATAAATTATTTTTAATCTCATTTTAAACTTTTTAATTTATTTTTTTTTAATTTTAATTAAACTAATTAGTTATCTTAATCTTAATTTATAATTATTTATATTATAAAATAATTATTTTTACTAACACATTATTAATTATCTACTAATTACACTTATCCTAAAATACCGTGTCTATAGTGTAGCAGATATAGTACATGGGACGGAAGGAGTATTATTTATTTTGGGAAATTCCAAAGTCACTAAAATGTACGAAGATTTGTTCCACCATTTAAACCTCCAATTTTGGAGCCTATTTATTTATGGCATTTCCAATGTCTAAAATTGTACTCCCTCATATTCCATATAATTTGTCCTTATTTTTTATTTTTGTCCTTTTCACATAATTTATTCTTTCTATTTTTGAAAATATAATTATGCACTTTAATAGTATTTTAAATTTTAAATTTTATAATTTTTTTAATTTTAATTAAACTATTTACTTATTTTAATCTTAATCTATAATTATTTTTACTAATATATTTCTTAATTACATACTAATTATATTTGACCTAAATTCCCGTGTTTACAGTAATACACCAGTATTACATGGGACGGAGAGAGTTGATTCATAAATAGAATGAATATTATTGATCAGCCGCCATTTAAACCTCCAATTTTGTAGCTCCAAAACGGTAAGTGTACTTTTATATCTACTCCAAATTTTATTTTATTTATACTTTTGTATTTTAATTTATAGTTTATACTCCAACTGTTCATGCATTTTTTTATTTTTTATTTTCTATTTTAGCATATCCTAATTAATATAATACGTTTATATTCACAGCAATAATTATTAGATTTAAATACAATTAGAATTTATTTGATTTTAGCTTGAATTTTAAGTTTTAATTTAGATAATATTTAAATATAAGTAATTTTTTATTCCCTCTGTCCCTTAAATAACTATTCATTTATTTTTTTCACGTAGTTTAAGGTATATTAGTATTATATTGATATATAATATGAATAATGTAAAAATGACAAAAATAACTTTATTAGTATAGTGAAATATAAATGTAATGACATTTGGGTAATATATTGTAAGTTGTAGGAGTATTTGTAATGTTAGGTAGATAGTACAATTACTAAAAAGGGAAATGAATACTTTGTTATATAACATATCAAAATGAAAAAATGAATAATTTATTATAGGACAGAGAGAGTATTAGTTATATGTGTGTAGATTGAATAGTACTTTTTTTTTTTTTTGAACTTATGTTTCTTTTTGTATAGGATCTTGAAATATATTTATTCAAAAGTTTATTTTTAATATTGTAAAACATGGTTATTTGAGATGTTTATTTATATTTAGCGGGTGTAAAAAATAAATTGAAATAACGTGCATATCATATCGTAAAGAAAAAAAATATTAATTATTTTTATTAGTGAAAAAGTGTGCAATATGATTTTGATATTTGTGCATTTGAAAGCATAAAATAAATAAATATTTTTATAAATAGTATTTTAGTATTTATATATATTATATTTTTATTATAATTTAAAATAGATATTTTTAAATATGACATACAAACATAAGATATTGAATTGGAAATGGGGTACTTAGTATTATTCAATACTTTATATTTTATCATTATTAAATTAGGCATGAAATCATTGACTATAATCATTTTAGGAATAAGTAAAGAATTATATCTATCACTCTAATGTAATAAAAAAATAAATTCAAATAAATTAATCATTTAATTACCATATCTACCCATCCAAATCTAATTATAATTATAATTATAAAAATAAATTCATATGCATACATTCAATTTTTTAAAGCATAGTTGTAGTAAATTTATTTGTGAAGCATCTAACACATGATACATCATTTATTTTATTATCAATTGGCCCCAATGAAAATAATAAATAAAATTATTAGTGTGTGCTAGATAACTTATTTTATTCAACTCTTAGAGTGTGCTTGAGAATTTTATAATAAGCTTCCATTATTTGATCTATTAGACTTGCTCATTTAATGTTTAATACTTTATTTTTAAATTTATTATACAATATTTACTATTTTTCTAGGGTTTGTTTAGATGGGGATTTTTGGAAATTTAGAAGTTCGAAAAATATAAAAAGTTAGTATTTTATTTGATATTTTGTGAGAAAAAAAAGTGTATTTGATGTGATGTTTTTTGAAAAATGAATAGTGTCAAATGAGTGAAAGTATGTTGTGTAAACAGAGGGCTATAAAAAGAAACACACTGTAATTTTCCTTCGAAGTTATTTCTTCCTCCGTCCCAAACTATGGTTTCGGTGTGTTCATTTTGTATTTTCAGATGAATATATTTTTTTTTTATTAGAGATATGAAGAATCGTATTGCGGTAATATAAAAAAATAATATTTTATATTAAATTATTGACTTTTTTTTAGGTAAATAGAGTATATAATTATTTATTGCATTTTTAAAAAATATTTATGAAAAATTTTACCACTCAAAAATAATAAATTGGGTGAAAACTCTTTGTTTCTCTTCATACAATTCGCTAGGTAATACAAGTTTGATAATTTTTTATTTTTATAAAATAAGGATTTGTTTGTCCAATATTATTATTTTTTTTACGAGATTCTCAGTATATATTTTATCTTTCTTACAAAATTCAACATTCAATTAAAATATTGATTTGTATATTACTGACATGATTTTCTATACTTCACATAAAAAAAAAAAAAAAAAAATCAAATATTATTGGTATGTTTGTTTGGAGATTGGATTTTGGTTTAAGATTTAAATAGTCAAAATTTTGAATTTGAATAGTTACATGAATTTCAATATAATATAAAAAGTGAAAAATAGATATTTAATTTGATATTTTTAGTTTTTTTTTTTTTTTTTTTGTTGATCAATCATAGAAAATTTTGAAAGAAAATGTGTAGTGTGTATTTTATCCGACGATTTTCAATAAAAAAGTATAATATATATATTTAAAAAAATAAAAAACTCATCATTTATTATAAAATATTATTTTTTATATTAACGATAAAAAATTTTTATACCTCACATTAACAAAATATCTCAAACCAAAATGTTACATAAACAAACATTTATAATGACAAAAGAAACAAAAAATGTCCAATCAAAAAAAAAATTAAAAAATGTATAAATAAATAAAAGTTGCAAAAATTTTAAAATATAAATAATAGAAAAAGCTTTGAGATGAAATATTATATTATTATGTAAATCATTCTTAGCTGCCTACTCTCAAGATAGGAGTTGGTTTAATTTGGTCGAGTTTGAGTGATCTCCTATATATCTCTTAGCAATTTATTAATATTTATTACAGCTTGCATTATTTATTGAATATTTAAAATACCATATTCAAATTATCTTTGTTAAGATACAATAAATAATAAAATATATAATAATATATTTGTAATTGGTGTAAAAATTAAATATATATATATTTTTTATAAATAGAGATATTGTACATAAATCCTTTGTTTACACATGTACTTTAAAAAATTTGGTATTATTCATTAATAATAATGATTTTTTTTAAATTATTTAATTAAATATTTGTTTTTATATATATAAAATATCACAAATCTATATTTTTTACTCCCTCCGATTTATTTTTCAATTTTAGTCTGTCTCATGACAAAGTATCCATTTCTACTGTCTACTTAACATTATAAATACTCATACAACTTACAATATATTACACAAATGTCATTACTTTTATATCACACGTACTAATAAAGTTATTTTAGTCATTTTTACTTTATTCCTACTATATCTCAATATAATACTAATATTTTTAAAACTACGTGCAAAAAAATTGATATTTAATTCCGGAACGGATGGAGTATTATTTTAAAATTTTTAAAACTTCAAAAATCTTATGGAATAAATTGATAAATAAATAAATAAATAAATAAATTTGTTTAGATTACTTTGTCGATGATATTTGTAGGGTTATAAGTCTTATACTTATATCAAAAGTGGGTCTTCGTTTTGATTTTTGGGAACAAATCTCGTTCAAATCTAAATCTGCGGTTT